ATAACACGAAACCTTCGTGAGAACCTTTGCATCCAAAGACCTTCATTCTGACTGAGCCCCGGTCGACGTGGTCATCAACATCAGCTCGCGTCCACCGAGGTGCAAACACCTAGGTGGTATCGAGGGCCGGGGCTCGGCCACGAACGGCGCGGCTTAAAAATGCAAATCGACCGACTAATTAACGAACGGGGCCGTAATCGCGCCCAATAACTCTCTCTCGCTCGCCTCGTTCTCTCCCTTCGCTCCCTGGGACCGTCCAGGAGTGGAGAGCGACAGACCCGGACCGACCCGGTGAACGATAAATAATCGCCTTCGTAATTAACCCGCCTCTGAGGTTTTACTGACCGCTCTAAGTACGCTAAGGAGGTGGTGGTACGTATCGATATTCTCTGTAACCGGTCGCAAATAGTTCAGTTTAAAAATATATTCTCTTATCCTTTTTTTTTTCGTTAGATATTCTCCGTTTACTCCAGGATTCAAATGTTCCTTACAGTTTCTATCATTTTGTAGTTCCATTAGTTCCTCGATTAGTTCCTTTTGGATTTTCCCTTTCCCTTTCCCTTTCCCTTTCCTTTCCCTTTCCCTTTCCCTTTCCCTTTCCCTTTCCCTTTCCCTTTCCCTTTCCCTTTCCCTTTCCTTTCCCTTTCCTTTCCTTTCCCTTTCCCTTTCCTTTCCCTTTCCCTTTCCCTTTCCCTTTCCCTTTCCCTTTCCCTTTCCTTTCCTTTCCTTTCCCTTTCACTTTCCCTTTCCCTTTCCCTTTCCCTTTCCCTTTCCCTTTCCCTTTCCCTTTCCCTTTCCCTTTCCCTTTTCCCGCCTCCTCCTAAAATGCCAAAAGGTCCTCGGAAACATACCCAAAGCAGTTTGTGAAGGTTTTTTTAGTCGGTAAGGTACCTCAGCCACCCCGGGAGTATCGCTTATGGCGCTGGTTTGTAGATTTTTACCCCACCCAAAAAATTGAGATAAATGAGACGAGATCCCATTACAATATATTGTGCTTTATTGGAGAATTGGGATAACTGAAAAATCTGTACGTCAGAGACAATGCTAGACGAATAGTAACTAACCGAGAAATAACTCAATGTAAGACAAATTCATATGTTTAATTATTCTGGGTGTTTAATTATTCTCGTTGCCTTGGGTGCCAGGCCACAGCGGCATCCAAGGCGAACGAAAAAGCCGACGAGCTAGCTAGGCAAGGATCATCGGCATCTTGGCCCAGAGCTAGTACTGGGAATACCCAAATATATGGCCTATAGTGCAAAAACACTGAATCAGGGAAAAGCAGAATGTCTACTCGAGAAAGAGACAGGGGCACAGGCACAGCATGGCCTTTATCCTAGTCCAAGGACCTAGCTCTAAAACCGCAAAAGAACTGCTAATGCTTAGCAGGAATAAAGTGCGGATTACAACAGGACACATGGCTGTCAAGAGTTACCTCAACAAGCTCAACCTGTGTCAAGGAAGTCTTTGCTGCAGACTCTGCGATAAAGCTCCTGAAACAGCAAAGCACATAATATGCCACTGCGAGGCTCTGTATCGCAAGCGACACTTTTTATTTGGGAAAGCTAGGCTAGAACTGGAGAAACATCCTATCAAGGATAAGTTATTGCGGGGCACAGGGATAATGGGTGCCGATATAGAAGGGACAAGCACAATAGGCCTCACAGGTCGCAGTGATTCCGGCAGAGGACGGCCCATTGTGTAATAATAGTAGACCTCTTAAGCTGAGTTCTAACAGAGGATTACTACGAAAATTTGGTGTTACAAGAATAATCTTTCACAGTCATTGGATTGGTATTCTATCAATTTTCTTTTGGCTTTATCTCTTGATCGATTCGGACGTTAAACCGCGCATCCCTATGCTAAATTAACTTGTACACGCTGCGGAGTTAAGTAAATTATAAACGTTTGGGCGTCGCGGTTGCGAGGTGGTCGAACGATTCGCGTTCTTTTTTGTTGTTGCCGTTGTCGTCATCCTTTTCGCCGATGCCGTCGTTTTGTTTCTCCCATCTTCGTCTTTTTATTTCGCGTCTGATCGCTTTATAATGTCTTTCCGTCTTCGGTTGGCGATCGCTTGCCCGATCGATAAGCAATTAAGACCCGTATCGAATGGTAGTTGCTTCGCGTAGTACTCGGTGGAAAGGAAATATGATGAGATATTGGATACGGTACTGGAGACTGTATGGTAAGGGTTTACTGAAAACCAGAAGAGTTCTAGGCAGATGGGGGGGGGGGGGGTGTTAGAATCCTTTGGCGTAATGGATGCGGTGGTTAATGGGCAGCAAGCAGAGCTTCGTTGCAACACCGCTATGTCGCTGTTATAAACCTACAATGCATGGTTTCATATTTTTCAATCTCTATGTTATTATGACGGCTTCAATTTACTTATTGCTGGCTACTTTACCTTTTTTATATCGAACTTAATATTAGGCGCAAAATCAGTTTTGGCCTAAAATGATGTATTACGACATCAATGTTTTGCAGACTTGTTCTTGGTTTGGTTTGGAATAATATTTTATGTTGAGAGTATAGCGATTCCGACAGATTTTGCTTAATATTCAATTAAATGATGTATTACGATATCGATATTTTGTAAAATCAGTCTTGGCCTAAAATGATGTATTATAACATCAATGTTCTGCAAACTTGTTCTTGGCCTAATGTTTTATGGTCAGAGCACGGCATATAAATCAATCGGCAGGCTAACTCGCTTTGGCGGGAAAGCTACGCGCATATCTTCGTGCACGCCGCCATTTGCGTTTCCATCAGCAGAAAGTAACCAGTGTCGTAGTTTTTCCAGCGACAACACACAGTTACGGCAGATTCGAGTCAGTAGCGTGCGGCTTAATTTATTTTGATTTTTTCTTGACTGATATATTTTGTTTTTGTTGTTTTATTTTTGTTTATGATGTGATATATTTGGGTTTTCTAGTTTTATTTTCGTTTCTTATGTAATATGATTTGTTTTAGTAGTTTTATTTTTGTTGTTCAATAAAAGTTTCTTTCTGTTTCCTAGAGATCCTATTAGGTATGTATATATGTGTTTAATTATTTTAACATATTTTAATTGTAAAAAAACAGTAGTATTCATATTAGGACATTCAGCTAAATAGGAAGACCTAATTAAAAATCTTAACAAATTTTAATATTAGTAAGATTTAATGTTAAATATTTAGTAAAATTTAATGTTGTATCTAGACATTAAAAATTAAATTTAAAAATCATTATATTATTAATTTAAATATAATTATAAAAGTAAATAAAATGAGTATATCGAAAATAAGTTAACAACAAATACATTTTGAAGATATAAATAAGGCCCACAAGTACAAGTTGTGTTCTGTTCATTTTGAATTTAAAATGTTTACCAATTCACTTTGTAACCGTATAAAATACAATGCGGTACCTACTTTGTTTCCTGCCATGAAAAAAATAGAAGTTTCTCAAAAAAAATTGTGGATTTGTTAATTTGTGAAATTTGAATATTAATAAAATTTGCTACGCCCATTGATGGGCATAATTTGTACGTAGCCTCTTTATATTGTTCAATAAATATTTTATTGGTATTACTTTAATTCTTGTTTGTAAATCCTGGCATATTTTTGTTAGTTGCATGTTTTTTAATTTTAATTGTCTATTCTCTACAGTGAAATATTTAATTGATTTTTTCATTTTTACTTTTCGAGAAGTATGCGCGGTTAACGAATCATTTGTTTGGACAAAAGTATTGCGTAAATAAAATTCAGTTTCAGTCAATTACAGTATTTTTTTAATACGACCCTGTCTAACAATAGTTTATTTTCTGAGAAATTTTTTGATACGTTTTAATCCGGCCCTGAGTAGGAAACGATAATGGCGCTGTCAAGGTCAAATTTTATAGAAATTTAAAACAATGGAATCTGAGCAGAGTTAGCTTGCCGTGGTCAGAGTATAACGACTCCGGCAGATTTTGCTTAATCTTCATTTAAATGATGTTTTATGGTATCTATATTTTAAAAAATCAGTTTTGGCCTAAATTCATGTATTATGACATCAATGTTTTGCAGACCTATTCTTGGCCTAATGTTCTATGGTCAGAGTATAACGACTCTGACAGATTTTGCTTAATATTCAATTAAATGATGTATTACGACATGAATATTTCGCAAAATCAGTTTTGGCGTAAAATAATGTATTAAACAGTTAGGAAAAGATGTACTTACGGTTGATTTCGTCGTCACTCTCTACCGTGCAGCTATCACTTGTGGTAGAAGGATCTAATTCTGCCTTTAAAGCTTGTATCTTCTTCTTAAATTTCGCATATTTCTTTTTCTTTTCGCGATATTTCCCCTTCGGGGTTGTCGAAAGTGTTCTGTGTGCAAAAGTGTTTGCTTTTTGGCATTTTCACTGCTGTCACTAAACCGATAATTAACAACACTGGGGCGCGGCGCTATGCGTAAATGCCTCGGCGGGTGCGAGAAACGAAGCGATCTAGGCAGCGGGAACCAAGCAGTAAGAGGACAACGTTAGGTACTTCTGAAATTATTTGAAAAAAAATCGAAACATAAATGAAACTTCTACACCCTGTATCTCCGAAACTAAGCATTATATGACATACATTTATACGAACTTCTTTACTTATTTTTATCTGCAGAATATGCTGCCGAAGTTTCCGGAATACATTTAGATATAACACTTTCAAATTTCTTTCAACTTCATTATCTATCTTTTATTATCTATTTTTTATATATATGTAGTAAAATCGCAATATATGTGATATATTGTGATTTTACTTTGTCAGGGTATATTAAAATAAGATATTAATATTATATTAAAATAAATTATAAATACCTATAGTAAATATTTCTATCCACAGAATAATAATTCTATACCATAATGCTTATCAGCTATTTTTGAATTTACACAATGATATCTGTCTAAACGTCAAGAAATGTCACATTGAATTTTACATAATGACAACATAACTAAATTTCAGTCTTCATCGAAAAAATACCAAAAAAATGGCTCCCATCGACGAAGATGGATTTTCTTTAACTCATCTACAAAAAGCAACGAGCTACATAAAAGGAAAGATCCCATCAAGCCCACGAATTCTTATTATATGCGGTTCTGGACTAGGTATATTAGCAGATTCTTTGCAGTCTCCAATCGTGATCCCATACGGAGACATACCTAATTTCCCTGAAAGTACTATAAAAGGACACTCAGGACAACTAGTTTTTGGTACAATATCAGGCATTAATGTGTTGTGTATGAAAGGAAGATTCCATTACTACGAAGGTCATTCGTTAAAAGAAAATAACTTCTCCTGTAAGAATAGCAGAAATTGCTTGGTGTGGAATTGCTCATCATCACAAAATGCCGCCGGTGGTGTTAACCAAAAATACAAAGTTGGAGACATAATGCTCATCAAGGACCACATAAACTTTCTAGGTTTTGCTGGGACACATCCTCTACGAGGACTAAAATGATGATGATTTTGGTGATCGTTTCTTTCCCGTAAACAGAAGTTACGATAAAAATATTCGTAAAATTGCTGTGGAAATAGGACAAAGTCTTGGAATTGGACCTAATCTTCACGAAGGTGTCTATGCTATGGTTGGTGGTCCAAACTATGAATCTCCTTCAGAAGTACGAGCTTTAAGAACACTTAACGTTGATGCTGTAGGAATGTCGACTATTCCAGAAGTTTTAGTCGCGAAACATTGTGGTTTAAAAGTTTTCGGGTTCAGTCTTATTACAAACGAATGTGTGGCGGACTATGATTCAGAGAAACAGCCCAATCATGAAGAAGTTTTAGCAGCAGTTAATTCTAGAACCCAACAGTTGAAAGATTTCGTTATAAAAGTTATAGAAAAATGTAATTTTAACGTAAGTAAAAATGAAAATATTAGCTCTGATGGGAAAAATTGTAATTGTACAAATGTTGTGTAAAATGCTTGGTGCTTTCTAATACATATGCTAATCAAGGATCACATCAACTTTCTAGGCTTTTGTGGGACGAATCCTCTTAGGGGTCCAGATGATGATAATTTTGGTAAACGTTTCTTTGCCATAAACAAAAGTTACGATACGATAAAAAATATTCGAAAAATTGCTGTGATAATATGAAAAAGCCTTGGAATTGGACCTACTCTTCATGAAGGTGTCTATGATATGGTTGGTGGTACAAACTATGAACTCCCTTCATGAGTAAGAGCTTTAAGAACACTTAACGTAGATGCTGTAGGAATGTCGACTATTCTAGAAGTTTTAGTGGCGAAATATTGTGGTTTAAAAGTTTAGAGAAACAGCCCAATCATGAAGAAGATTTAGCAGCAGTTAATTCTAGAACCGAACAGTTGAAAGATTTTGTGATAAAAGTTGTACAAAAATGTAATTTTAACGAAAGTAAAAATGAAAATATTAGCTCTGATAGAAAAAATTTTAAATCTAATATAACACAAACGCTGTGTAAAATGTAAAGCTTTCTAATAAAACCGAATATGTAATACAGACATTATTATCTATATTGTTCTTTTGGCTGTACCTTAACACTAAGCTATATTCTATTTATCTTTAAATTAAATGTATTGACCACTTTCTTTATATAAAATACATCATTAAAGAAAGTATATCTTTCAATAGGAATTGCCAAAATGCTTGGCGTGGAAATGCCCATTATAACAAATGCTGTTGGTAGAGTTAACAAAAACTATAAAGTTGGAGACATAATGCTCATCAAGGACCACATCAACTTTCTAGGTTTTCCTGGGACGCATCCTCTAAGAGGTCCAAATGATGATGATTTTGGTGAACGAATTTAGTTATTCTAGTACTTTCTACCGAAGAATTAAACAAAAAGGAATCACTGCGAGCCGACGCATCAACATCAGAAACAAAAACTACATCTTTCTATAATCCTACTGATCATCATAATCCTAATGAACATCATAAATCAGGTAGTGACTGAGATATTTTTGAAGCTGTTTCTGTAGATGAGTGTAGTGTTAGTTCATCTGAAACTGAATCTCAGAGGAGAACTAATTTGAGAACCAACAATATAAAACAAGAGCTAAAAGAGTGGGCGTTAAAATACACTATACCTCATGTAGCTCTGAATAATATAGAAACACTAATAATAGAAAATGCACAATAAGTAAAAAATAACTTTAAAGGACAAGGCGGAACGTTATAGTAGCCACCAATGGAATGTATAGTCGCAACCTCCGCGATCGGTGTAGCATAACGCTCCAATTAAGTGGCAATTTGGTGGCGCAGGGAACTTTCTTGGAAAAAATCACTTTATGGTTCCAAAGAATCATTGACCATGTAGTTCCAAAAAGTTATTGTTTCTATAAAGTCGCCTTTGGTTAGCTACAATTGTCACTTAGCATATGGAACTATAAAGTATTTTTTTATTTTGAAAATAATTGTAATGTTTTTTCATGAATTTTTTAGACGAGCAGCCAAATGGCGCAAACATGCGTTTTAAGCTAAATATACCTAAAGCTTTTTTCTTTAGTTATTTTGTTATTTCTGACGGTGGACTAATATTTTAAAGTTTGACCCCGGTTTCAAGCAAATTATTATTATTTTGTCAAACCATACCAATAGGTATATTAAAATTAAAAAAAAAACTTTTTTTTTAATTTCACTCAAAATGGATTATTTGGGTCATAAAAAGGTCATAAATGACCTAAATACAAAATATTTTCATGGTGTCTGTCTGTCTGTCTGTCTGTCTGTCTGTCTGTCTGTCTGTCTGTCTGTCTGTCTGTCTGTCTGTCTGTCTGTCTGTCTGTCTGTCTGTCTATTCTGTCTGTCTGTCTGTCTGTCTGTCTGTCTGTCTGTCTGTCTGTCTGTCTGTCTGTCTGTCTGTCTGTCTGTCTGTTGTCTGTCTGTCTGTCTGTCTGTCTGTCTGTCTGTCTGTCTGTCTGTCTGTCTGTCTGTCTGTCTGTCTGTCTGTCTGTCTGTCTGTCTGTCTGTCTGTCTGTCTGTCTGTCTGTCTGTCTGTCTGTCTGTCTGTCTGTCTGTCTGTCTGTCTGTCTGTCTGTCTGTCTGTCTGTCTGTCTGTCTGTCTGTCTGTCTGTCTGTCTGTCTGTCTGTCTGTCTGTCTGTCTGTCTGTCTGTCTGTCTGTCTGTCTGTCTGTCTGCAATCTGTCTGTCTGTCTGTCTGTCTGTCGCATCTGTCTGTCTGTCTGTCTGTCTGTCTGTCTGTCTCTGTCTGTCTGTCTGTCTGTCTGCTGTCTGTCTGTCTGTCTGTCTGTCTGTCTGTCTGTCTGTCTCTGTCTGTCTGTCTGTCTGTCTGTCTGTCTGTCTGTCTGTCTGTCTGTCTGTCTGTCTCTGTCTGTCCTGTCTGTCTGTCTGTCTGTCTGTCTGTCTGTCTGTCTGTCTGTCTGTCTGTCTGTCTGTCTGTCTGTCTGTCTGTCTGTCCGTCTGCCGTCTGTAACACGATAACTCAAAAACCGCTGAACCGATTTTAACCAAATTTGGCACAAAAATACATGGCACCCGTGAATATGGCCATTAGTTTTTGGTGGGCGTGGACGGTTGGTAAGAGTGCAGGAGGGGTTAAAATTTAAAATCGTAACTCCAAAATTACGGTAGTTAGCGAAACGCGGTTTCAAATTAAGATTAGGAATAATATTTGCAACAAAATTTGTAATAACATCAAAATCAGTCAAAGTCGCAGTTTTCGAGATATTAACATATTTTAGTATGGGCGGCTATACGTGCCTCCCGGCGCCAATTTTTTAATTACAAACATGGGTTTATATTGCAAATAATATAATAATTTGAAATATTTTGAGAGGCGCTAGAAAATTTTGTTATATAAACCCACTATTTTTTTCAGGAAAGTTGCGTTCTGGCGTTGACCTAAAAAAGGCATTAAAATCGCATGGTAAATAACAAATAACGAAAAAATAATAATGGCTTCCGTATATTGCATCATGACATTATTTTTTATGAAATGTAAAATTGCATGAAGAGGTCGCTGCGAATAAAGTTCAACAGTTTAACGAATGTTCCACATGTCGGTGGATATCATTTGGCTGCCACGAACCCGTGACTAGGCAGCTTCGTAACGGATAAGTCGCATTCACCAGTAGGCTACTTTATAGTAACACATCATAGTAACTCTTTTAGTGGCAAAAACTACCCAAGACACTACCCGGCTACTCAAAATCTTTCCCCATTTTGGTCGCAGTTACTTGGCAGCTACGAATATACTACGTAGCCGCCGATGATCACCGCCCACTTTGTAGTGGCTTTGATAGTAGCAGTTACGTATCTGCCTTTCTTTCTTTCTTCCTTTCGCTTGGTGTCCATTTTCTTGGTTATCCATTTCGCTCGCTGTCCCAAGGCGGAAACATGGAAGACCACCTCGAAGATGGAAGCAGGGCGTAGTTGACGCTATGAATTCTAGGGTCCTTCAGGAAGAAGACTGGACAGACAGAAATCTGTGGAAGTTGAGAAGCGGGAGACGACTAATGTCGTAAAAAATCATAGTTACGTATCTGCCACAATAAATGCTAGTTGGGCTTGGTAGTACCATGTACCATATCAAATACGTGAATAAATAGATTAGCCCGTTTTAGTATACCGTCCCGTCTTAGGTTACTCTCCCCTAAACTTCTTCTAATAAAAGTAATTATTATTTTATCTCACTTGTAATTATTTTATCTCACTTACAAATGGCTAGAAAATAATCTTCAAACAATTAATTTGCGTGGATGGAGCTTAATGACTATTTGTCTAATTAATAACGAATATAATAACAAATAAAATATCAGACGACCGATTCAGCAACATTATAAAAATATATCCAATAAATATCGTGCATTTTTGTTGGTTTTCGTACTAATATTCCATTATTAACATTATATTTCTATTTATAAAGCCTCTCTCAGCCCGGAGGATTGTTTAAGCGCTTATTGTTCGCCTTTTTATTACAATGGGCTCCGGTAATCTCGAAAATCGTGCGTAGGATCGTTAATAACTTTGCAGAATCGAATAAAAATTAATAATGAAAAATATTATACCCTCCTTTTACTCCTAGTGCTGACTACAGTTATTCCTTTAAACCAGTCTGGATGAATATTTTACTATCCTTATATACCGTACGATGCAAAAAAACTGCGACCTAACTTGCAGATCATCATGACCTGTAACGGTCAAATTTCCTCGCAACGATCTCTGTGTGCTAGCTCATAAATTATCGCAAATAACTCTTATTTTTGCATCATGTTTACTGTTTTATTATTAAATATTATTTTAATTTACGATTATGCAACCCGATATACACCGCGATATTATACATATATTGTCACTGATGCCGACCAGCAGTAAGCTTTTTGTCCATCTCTCTATATCTTTGATCATCACCTCCGTCACTTGTCACTGTCAGATAAAATCAGATGTTTTTTGGATTTATTTATCCTTTGTTTTGGTTAATGAAATTTTATAATTATCAGATAAAATTTCGTAA